GCAGCCAGACAGAAGGTTAGTCATTCAGGGTACGGAGGGGACTCACTGTTGATCTCTGAATACACAAGCTCACTCAGGTTGGTGAGTGAAGTAGGGAAGGAGATCAACTACATTCCAATTCTCCATCCCTGGAAGGGAGAGGGGGGCAACTGGAAGGGGGGTGGTGGAAATGAGTGTTTGCATTTTAAAGTCACTGCTCAAAGTGTTTAAAAACAATCACACGGCTGTGCTCATTCGCACTCACCCCACCCCTGGTGAGGATTATTTCCTGGCATGGCTGGTTTGGCCTAAACCCTGAACAGGCTCTACTATCCTACTTTCTTAAAGAGCCAGGTAATCTAACCTGTGCTATTGCTGCTCATATAATGTTGCCAGTGTGAAATTTCACACACACACACACACACACACACACACACACACACACACACACACACGGTCATTGCTGGGCTGAGGATGGCACCAAAAACCAACAAAACTGATGACAACAGCTAAAGCTCCGTCACCACTATGCTCAGGTACTCCTGAGAAAAAGAATTCTCTAACATTTCAAATTCAAATGGTTGAATTATCAGAGATTAAAGAAATGCCAGGTATTTTAATGCAGCGAGACAGGGCAAAGAGAGCCCTGCAAGGGATGGCACAAGACAAAGGGAAGTGCAGGGACAAGACACAGCCTTGGCCTTCCACAGTAAGCCAAGTGTTACTTCACCCACAGGACAACGGCTCTCATTAGGACCTGCCTCTTGCTGGGTTGTTAACAAGTCCTTTTTAAGAGAAGTGTGAGGGAGAGAAGGCGTGGGAGAGAAAGCAGACAGGCTATGAGAAACCAGGACCTAGCTCACGGTGGTAACTTTGGATCATTTTACCTATAAAGTAGGATCCAAATGAAGGAAACACGAGAACAGGACTTTTTACAGGAAAGGAAGATAGACATCCCAGGAGAACAAGTGACCTCAGCACAACCATGGGCACTGGCTCAGTTGGTAATCTATTGCTGTGGAGAGACTCCATGTCCGTGAAGTCTTATAAAGGAGGCATCGAACTGAGACTTGCTCAGGTGCAGAGGGTTAGTCCACTGTCATCATGGCAGGAAGCATGATGCCTGCAGGCAGACATGGTGCTGGAAAAGCTCAGAGTTTTGTATCTGGATCCATAGGCAACAAGAAGAGAGAGACACTGGGCCTGGCTTGGACTTCTGATTAAAGCCCACCCCAGTGACACACTTCCTCCAACAAGGCCACACCTCCAACTACTCTAATGACAAGCCACTCTGATGACTAAGCATCAGAGCATAAGAGCCAATGAGGGCCATCTTATTCACCCCCTACTTTCTACTCCCGGCCTTCACAGGCTTGTGGCCATATCATAATGCAAAATGCATTCAGTCCAACTTCAAAAGACCAAGTAGTCTGTAACAGTCTCATCAATACTGTTTAAAAGTCCAAAGTCCAAAGTCTCTTCTGAGACTCACACAATCGCTTACCTTTAATCTCCTGTAAAATCAAAATGAAAAAGCAGATCACATACTCCCAGCAGTGAACAGGATATATGCTGCTATTCCAAAAGGGAGGAAAAGGAACATAGTGGGAAATACTGGACCAAAGCACACAGAAACCAGCTGGGTAAATCCTTCACTTCTGTGTCTGGTGTCAAGGCATCTGCAGACCCTTTCAGCTTTGCTGACTGCAACATTCGGAACACACCAAGAACGGAGTCACGTGAGAACTCTGAGTGCTTGTGAGAACACAAGGCCTGAGCCTTGTGACCTCAGTTTCTTCAAAAGCACAGAATTGTTCTTGGAATGTTTCTGTGCTTCACCTCAGTGGCTAAACACAAAATGTGCATTTCGTGTAGCAGACAGGAGCAAGTTTACTCCAGCTTGTTATCCACACTCCTCTATGAAAGAGCCACATGTGGTTTGTCCTCATGAGCCTCACTCACACAACTCCTTAACCCTCAGAGTATAAATTATCTGATGCTCTATATAAAGTTGGCTGCTGCAGGAGACTTCAGCCTGCCTCCTTTTTAGGCCGCTCTCCCCGGTCCCCGCCTCCAGCTAGACAGTCAAGCAGCAGCCGTCCTCCCCTGGGCTGACTCCACACCTAGTCTGCAGTTTTCCGTGGCAGGCCTCCCACGGCTTGGTTTGTTCAGCATCGTGGGGTCTCCACGCAGGTAGGCCTCTGACAGGTGTCAGGCCGCAGCGGCTCTCCTCAGTCACAGAGGCTGACCCCACAATCTCTTTCTCGTATCCCTGACTCTCAGGCCGGAATCACGTGGCTGAAGCTGCCAAGTTCTGCTGCTCGATGGAGCTGCAGCTTGGCCTCCTCCTTCAAACACATTTTCAACAGCCTTCTTTTTTTTGATGCTTTTCTTCATCTCTAAAGCTTTTCTTTAATTCCTTTCACAAACTGGAAGTTTAGCTGGGTGGGGTCTTGCCCTGAAGCCACCGCTCCCTTTATTCCATTTGACGTCAGACTAAATGAAATTAAACTTTTTAATCTTCTTTTGCACTAGACTTAGCTCCGTTATATTTTCTATAATCTGTTTCTCCTCTAGCTGTACATATAGTATTTTTCCTTTTCATTATAGATCTGTGTAAGAGCGACCAGTATAAACACCCAACAGAGTCCCTATGAGGCTGTCCTGAAATCTCTGCCAATGCTATTTATCCAAAATCTCTTCAATTTAGCCAGAGGCAGATTTTTTTTTTTTTTTTTTTTTTTAAGCAGGGCAGGAAACAGCCACATTCTTTGCCAGAATATTACAAGAATGGTCTCTAAGCTACTTTCTAATATTTTCTTCTGAAACCTCTTGAGCTGGGTTTTCAAAATCTATATTTCTCTCAGCACCTGTCTTCCACAATCCTATTAGTACAGCCCATTAAGCCCTGCTTAACACATTCACCTCTTTTTCCAGTGCAAAGTCCCAAAGTCCACATTCTGCCAATAAGCAGCATAGTCAGGCCTGTCACAGCAATACCACACTCCTGATAACCAACGTCTGTATTAGTGTTTGATTGCTATGAAGAGACACCGTAACCAGGAAAATCTCGTAAAGGAAAGCACTTAACTGCCGCTTGCTCTCAGGTTCAAGGTTTAGTTCACTGTCATCATAGCAGGAAGCATGGTGGCACGCAGGCAGACATGGTGCTGGCGAAGGAGCTGAGAGTTCTACATCTGGGTCTAGAGGCAGCAAGAAGAGAGAGGCACTGGGCCTTGTTTGGGCTTCTGAATCTCTGACACACTTCCTTCAACAAGGCCACACCTCCCAACTCCTCTCAAGCAGGGCCACTCTCCGATGACTTAGCATTCAAATATATGCGCGTAGGGGCCCTATTCTTGTTCAGCCAGCACAGGCAGCGAACAGGACTGATAAACAGTACCGAACGCTGCTGATAAATGACACACTACAATAATTAAGCATCTGGCTATAACAGCCTCTTTTCTCCCAGGGAGATGTGAAGGAGTCATTCTGCTTCTGCTTTCTTGGTGGAGTTAACTAACCTCTGGTAGCTTTCCTGCTTGTAAACCAGAAGTGAAGCCAGCGACTTCACAGTTTGTTGGGCATCTTAACAGGTATGTATGCACATGCACAGACGGTGTACACACACAGCAGTAGGCTCAGAGTAAGGTTTTTAGATGGTAACTGTTATTTTATATAAAACAGGCACTCCTTTCTGTCTACATTTTAACCTAGAAGTACGCTGTTAAATGTTTTCCTAACGCACTGTCAAGATTTCCTTTCATGTAAGGTTCGGTATCAAAGCTCACCACATTAAGTCCAAAATTACTTTTCTACATTCATTCCAGGGTAGCAAAGAATGTCCACACTATGCACAGGTGCGAAGACCTGGTGTCCCACGTGCTATGCAGACGGCTTCACTGACGTGCAACCCAATCAAGCGTCCTTTCCTGCAATTAGCATTCTATTAAGGGGGGTCAGGGCTGATCTTGACTATCAACTTGACACACTTGAAAGCAGGGACCTCAGTTGGAGAACTGCCTATTGCAGTCTGTGGGGCATTTTGTTCACTGGTAATTTGTGTAGAAAGGCCTCTTCCCCGTGTGTAGTTCCAGCCCTGGCCACAGCATGGGTTATATAAAAAGGCTGGCTGAGCATGGGCCAGGTGGAGCATGCCAGCGAGCAGCATCTTTCTGTGGTCTGCTTCAGTTTCTCCCACCTTGACTTCCCAACTGGCTGCCCTGCTGAGGGCAATAAAGCACAGGCTAAAATCAACCCTTCAACCCTTTCCTTCCCAAGCTGGGTTTGGTCATGGTGTTGATCAAGGCAGGAGAAGCAGCTAAGTGAACAGCGGTGTGAGGCAGCCTGCGAGAGTCCCCAGGGAAGCTGGACAGCTTCCCAGAGACTGCCAAGATGAACGGCTGAAGATGTAAACCCCCGGAGTTCTAGAGCTGTCAAAAAGGAGCTTTACAATTAGCAGCCACAGCGCCAGGCATGGTGGCACATACCTCTAATCCGATTCCTCTGGAGGCAGAACTGTGAGTTCAAGGTCACCTGTCTACACAGTGAGTTCCAGAGATACACAATGAGAAAGAGAGAGAGAGAGTAAAAGCAATCTAGCATGGACAGCCAGCTTTCACCACAAAGAAAGTCACAAATTGCCCTGCAGCCAGCAAAGCCACTAACCACTCTTGTCAATGGCCTTACCAAATACACTGACAATGTTGTAATACCTTATTTAAAAAAACAATGTCGCCACCTTTTGTTGTCTGACATGGTTCCTCATTTTCTCTTTTGGGTAGCAGGGTCCTCCTGTCCCTAGGTTGACTGGACTCCAAGCCTGGGAGCTCTGGGCATAGCAGGATGGCTACACACACCAGACGGACTGTGACATCACTGAGAGCTACAGCAGGGCTCAGACAAGCAACTCTGTGCTACTGTGCAATGGGCCTTTCAGAACGGTATGCATCTGTTCCCAGACTGCCTCCCCCCGCGACCCGGTCACATCACCCCCCTTCCATGGAGGGTAACCGTCTTACCGCAGACGTTAGCCGAGCCAGAATTTCATCGCTGCTTTCTTCCGCACCCTCCACTTTCTGGTTAGACCTTTGAGAAAACAACAACGAATTACTCCTTGGCGCTGGTTGTTCAAACTTCAACCTTAACAAATAAAGGGCAAAAAATTGACATTGCCATTACGTCATGAGTGCAAGCGTGCAAATTACACGGGGTTGGCAGAGCCAGAGGCACACAATCCTTTCCCAGCCAACTGATCTTTAGAATACATGATCCAGTATCTCTTCACATGGACCACCTGAGTTCAGGGACCTCGCGCTGCTCCCCGGGGGACGCCACAGGGTAAGGCTGGCACACGTGATCTATAGATACAGCCTCGAAGAGGGCCTGCCAACACGCCATGCTTAGGTGCTGAATGCCCCTGAATCTAATGAAACCGTGAAGCAATGAAATGCAAATTTCCCACTACATTTGAGTTTCAGCCCAAGCAAATACACTATGAAATAGTATATTTTAGGCCTAATCCCATGGTGGAAATTATAAGTAATACAAAAGGAAGAAAAAAAGAATTTTGCTTTTTCAGCCAAAGTGAAGAGGGAAAAAAGTTATGCAAATATCAAGTAATAAATGAGACATGGCAGTACAAGGCTATTTGGTTTCTGGAAAATCGCCTTTATTATTTACACAAATGTACACAATAACAAAGTCTCTACTTTAAAAAAAATCTTATAAATCATATTTTTTTCTAGTTTGGCCAAAAAGACAATGAGCTAATGATAAATATAATAAAAAACTGCACACTGGCTCTATTTCCACAAGCTATCCCTCTCAGCACAGCCCGTTTGGGTGAGAGTCTTGGTAACTGAGCCATAGAGCCAAGTATCAGAAATTCTTCGGTGCAGGGTTCCCATCTAACCAGCAGAGGTGAGTCAGCCGGCGCCGTCTGGCCTTCTCCCCGCTCCACAGAATGCAGCAGGACCTTCGTCAGAAAGGATGAACTACTTGACCCATTCTGGCACTGGTTTCCGGCTTCTGTGTTATTTAACCTCTTCTCAGAAAGGAAGTCACGACCCTCAAGTCTGAGGAAGGAATACAAGCCACTGCCTTTACAAGAACAGCAAAAGGCAGCTGTGGAGTCCAGCTCAGCTTGTCTCGTGCCTTAACTGCTGGTGCAGCAGCCATGTGCCTGAACCACTACCTCACAGAAAATCCGCAGAGGAAATCGGGCATCTTATCTTCGCATGTCTTCTTAGAAGTCCCCTGCATACTGAGTATTTCACACAACCCTGATTATTAAAAATTCACATTTCCTTAAAAAGAAGGCTGTGTTGAGAAGAGATATAACCTACACAACTCAAACCTGCCTTATATGATCTGGCTCGGTACCTGAACAAATCTGACAGGAAATTAAGAACCAAGTACACCACGAAGCACAGCAGCGAACTGAACAGGCTGCTCTGCCCATCTCCACAGCCCGACTGCCTGTGCCTCTCCAGCCTCCTCAGACTCAAGCTGACAGCTTCCTGTGAAAGACTACACTTCCCAGCGTCCCTTGCGGCCAAGCCAAGCCGTTCAGGAAGGGAGGGACTATGCTGTGGACGTTATTGCCACGTCTGTAAGCGACCATATAAGCAACCCTGCTCGGAGGCAGAACTAGCGTCCTTCTCCCTGCGCAGAACACAGGCCAGTGCGATGCTCTCCCTGGAGCTCGCTGTACCCGCCGCCTCCTTACACCCCTCGGTCACACGATCTTTTCAGAGCCCACCGCGAACCCTCCGGCCTCTCGGTTTTGAACACTGCCGCACATGCCTTGCTTCTCCACCTGCCTTCCAAGCGGCTCTAGGTGCCACGTCCGGTAGCGTGATTTTCACCCACACACGGGTGTCAAACACAGGTCTGGTGCATTACGTGAGCACGAGGCTTCCTCGGTCCTGCTTTCTTCACATGTCCTGGCACCCTGCGGCCATCCATCCTTCCGCGCCCACCGCCCTGTCCTGCCAGCAGCCACCCTTTGACACGCCTTCCTCCAGTCTGCTTCCTTTGCGCCAGGCCCTCAAAGGCTCGCAAATACATCACTGTAATCACCTTTTAGCCCACCTGAGTGACCGGTCTCTCTTGTTCTTTTCAACCTCCTACAGACACCCCAGATTCCCAGATTAGCCTCCCTGCCTACCGAGAGCAGTGAGGTTTAGATGTAACTGTCTTTCCCTGCTAAGGGGGTCCCCAGTGCCTTGCATCCTGGAAGCTGAAGAAGCTCCGGGGGCGGGCTAGTGGTCAGAGGCTGGAAAAGCTGGGAAAGCAGCAGGCAACGCTAGTTCCTCTTCATCTGCTCTCATCACCCCACTTGGAAACTCTTTCCCTGCCCATCTCGTTAGTAAAATGCCCGAAGGATCCTGCTTGCTTAATACTGCCCAGGAATCTTTGAAAATTCAGATAAATTCTTATTTTACCTATGCAAATATGCAACAGAGCAACTCAGGAAAGACAAGTTTTCGCTATCAGATTAAGGAGAAACGGAAGCAGACGTGTGGCAAGGCGGCAAGCGCGCAGTCTGCACATTTCCCGTTATTACCAGAACATGCCATTCTGCTCCGTGAACAACAGAGGGAGAAAGACGGGAACTGAGATTCTGGTTGCGTGGTCATGAGAGAACCCTGGCCGGAAAGCAGTGGGAGACAGCCCTGGCTGTGGACGTGAGGCTGCTGGAGGCTCCAGGCCAGCAGGTGCCCTGGGAATTCCAGGGGCCAGGGAAGGCACTGAGTGCTGCAGGCAGGTCTGTAAAAGCCTGTGAAATCTAAACTCTGAGTTCTACCGTGGATGTGGGGATGGCAGGGTCTATGTTCCTCGTCCCTGGACCCTCTAACATCAAACTGTACCCATGCCCATGTGACCACAAAAACAAACAAGCCGACACAAAGCATAGTGCTCTCTTCCCAGTGTACCACCATAACTGAGGGCGACAGAGGTCTCTGGTGAGACACCATCCTTGGCTGCCCAACCTCCTCCCCTCTGCTCCCCCACACACTGAGTCACACTGGTCATCCTGATTCCATCCTTCAGCGCATTCTCCGACTTCTCACGGTGCTGATCCCTCCTCTACGAATGTAGTCCGAGCCCTGAAGCTAGACCAGGCCTAGGTCCTCTACAGCCCAGGGTCCCATGAGGAGAGGGAGCCTCAACCGAGCAGTTTTCACAGGCCACACTGACCATGTCCTCCAGAGTGTCTTGACTGATGATGGAGGACCAAGACCACCGTGTGCTGCGTTGTCTCTAGGCCCGACTAGTGACTAAGAAAGCTAACAATGTGGGCTAGGGAGGAAGCCAGAAAGCAGTGTTCACAGTTTCTGCATTAGTCCCTGCTGACTTCCTGCCCTGTTTTCCCTCAGCGATGGACTGTGACTGGACCTACAAGCCAAACCTTTTCCTCCCTGAGCTGCTTTTGGCCAGAGTGTTTTATCACAATAGAAAGCAAACGAGAACAGCCTTGCTGTGCTCACACATCCTTAAGCTACTCCCTACCTCACCCAGATAAAGTGCAAATCTTCTTTTGTTCAGAAACATATAGCTAATAAGGGCCGAATCTGTTTGAGGGAGACTTTCCTGTTTGATTTCAACAGTCTGTAGTAATTAGCATAACCACTCATGTTGGATTCCCACAACTTGCTCCTCTCACAATGAAGTCTAGATGCTTCAGCCAACATCTTCCCATCCCCTACACAGAACACTGGCATGCTGGGAAGGACCATCCATTTAACAAAGCAAACACCTATGGGGAAAGAAAGTAAAATAGAAAAGCAAGATTGTTTTTAATATAATGAATACAAGCTGACATCTTCAGAGTCTATTTTTCCATCATTAGATGGCTAGTTATGCTGAGAAAAGACATTTTCTGAGCAGCAATACACTGTGACTGTCATGGGCTTCCTAAGCCCAGGTGCACAATGATAAAAACCAATCTAAATCGGAATAAAATTGGGTATCCTTGGATCTCTTTTTCACATTTTATTTTGGGGATTTTAAGATAAATCCCTACCACTATTTCAAATGCTAATACAAGCAACCACAAAAGTTAAAATTTTGTTATAATCCCTGTACTACTCTCAAATATAGATGTGGTCTGATAATGACAAGCAATCTGTTCCCACACCTGGAATGAGCCTTGTCTATAAACCATGGAAATGTTGGGGAGCTCAGCATCTCCATGGCTGCAGGAGTAATAGAGATAAATGGAAACCTTCTTCACCTGTAATCCAAATGCAAAATATATATATATTTGTTTACCCAGTATTTTCTTCCTCTCCATATGCCCCAAGAATCTAATTAGGGTAAGTCAGAAGTGCAAAACGCAGATTGGGACAAGATGAATGGCAGACCTGAACTTGAACTCCCAGGTCAGAGCTAGGAAGCATATACTGCACAGAAACTAGATTTCTTGTGCTGCTTCTATGTGTCGGATAGAAACGAGGGGAGGGGAGGAGAGTGAGCGGGGCAGGAGAGAGCCCTACAGGTAGGCAGTGCCTTTATACCGGGCACCTCGCCATCGCGAGGACCTGCAGCTTAGAAGTCCCTGCTGTGGAGCTGGTGCTGAATACACCAGCTCAAGTACAAAAAGCAGGGATGAGAGAAGACTCAACTCCCAACACTGTGTTTAGAGGTCAGGGTTTTGAAAGTGTTTTACTATAAGTCAGGCATGGCCCACCTGAATAAACAGAGGCCAGCAGATCTGGAAAATAACTCTATGAGATGGCGGTTTGTTACAGCTCCCAGGAGGAGGGAACGGGACACACCAAGGGTCTACAGGAGGGAGCCCCGGAACGAGCAAGGCGAGGTGAGGAAAGAAGCTGCCGGCAAGAGCAGGAGGCAACGTGAGGCAAGATTAGAGATGAAGAAGGGCTGCTTCCTCTCGTGTCCTCATGGGGGCAGGGGCCGTCCCCAGTTGCCTGGTACTGGAGTCCACAGAGCGCCAGGTGGGTGGAAAGCCCAAACCAAGCACTGGAACATGGGCTTCCACTGGTTGGTCCACACATGGAAAGGTCTTACACATATGAGCTCTTTTCTACCGCATGAACTGACTGGTCTTTGGAAGGGCATCTCCTCAGGGTCAAGGAAGGCCCCGAGCTGCCTTGGAACACAGAGTCCACAGAGCCAGAGAGGACCCATAGCAGTTCAGCCAGAAAGACGGCAGAGCTAACAAGGAGGAAGCATGTGCGGTGGCTGCCTTCGAAAGAACAGGAGTCAGCAGGCCGAAGATGCTGGCCAGTCCAGTAGAGCCAGGACTGCAAGTCAGCCACTTCATTTAGCAACCCAGGCTTGCAGTCACCACAGGGAAGCTTTAAGTGGAAAAAGCCTCCTCTCCAACAGGCAAAACTACATCTCCAAGTGGCCCCTCGCTATCCACCTTATCCCCAGAGCGTCCTGCAGAAGAGCAGGGAAAGAAGCAGACACGGTATTTGAATAACTTTACTATATTAGAGCAAAAGTAGGAACTCCCTGGCTGCCCACAGAAACGTTCATGGAGATAACAGACACCAGATACCCTAGCAAAAGAAAAAAAAAAAAAAAACCACAAAAATCTGTGTTTTCTTTATATACCTCTGCATAGTCTGAGATGAGCATTAGCAATCCTCAGCAAGTCTTTTATAGCATAAATGTTAATGTAACTGGAAGGTTCTGGCTTTATGTATTCAAGGGTCCATGACAGACTGTTCGGAGCCCAGCCTCTTCACCCTTGGAAGCCGGGAGGTATCATACTAGAGCCGTGGTGAGCTTGGCTTTGCAAAGCATCAGCTCTCAAGCGGATTGTTACTAGAGAACCACTGTGCAAGCCTAATGGGACTGTTAGGCCGCCTTTCTGGAAGCTGTCAGTCCTCAGTCTTCACTCCCTTCCTCCCCTCCCACCAAAAACAACAAGTGAGCGTTAGGAAGAAGTACACTCTGGGTAACTTAACCTAGGCTTCTGTCTGAACGAGGCGCTATAACTAGTCTCTTTCCCTGAGACTGTATATGCTCACAATCAACTCAGTCCTTTCAAATGACCTCTTTTGGGGGATTAAGGACTATTTCACTGAGAGCCAGATATTTGTCTCCTCAGAGTGGGTAGCAGGCTCGCACACCTCCTTCCTCTTCCTGCTGTAGACGTTCTTTTTAAGTCATAAAACTGCCTTTATTTTTCTTTTCAGAAACACACAGAGAACAGATTTGTCCATAGAGGACACGGAGTGGCCTCTGGCATCATTTTAAAGTCATTTACAAAGGATGGAAATTAGGGGGACCTATCATGGAACTGCGTAGGTAGACCTTAATAGCTTGCATGTATCAAAAGGTTATTTAAAGCACCTCAGGATGGGGTGTAGCTCATAAATGGAAAACAAGAAGCAAAAGGACTTCAGAGGGCGTTTCAGTTATAAGAAATAAAAGCAAAACCACATAAGCCCAAGAATGACTTAGAAGAATGGATCTTTAAATTATCATTACCAACAAGAGCAGTGTTTTACCAAATCCAAGTCCAACACATCCAAGGCCATCAGGAAAACTTCACAGGCAAGGTAGGACTTGGGCTCCCCCTTGGGGGTTGGGCAGAATTTAACAAGGAAAAAGGCAGAAGAGGGAGCAGAGCAGGACATGACAGTCCAAGTTGGCTGAAAGTGGAAACCATGGAGATTTCCAGGTCAAAGCCAGAATTATAAGGAAAGTATGTGAAGGAACCAGGGAAGGTGTGATGGCCATTCAGCCAGAGGGGACAATGTCCTGGGCACCTCTTCTCTGACCACCCTTTATTCTGAGTGGGCTAGCTCAAAGCCTGGCTTTCAGAGATCCACAAGCATTCCACTGCTGCACAGAAGCTGGCCCATAGTTGTGATTCAGGGAGGATATATCTCCTCTCTCTAGAAGAGAAATATGACTTAGCAACTTTGTTCTTCTATGCATGGTACTTATAATAAGAATAAACAGGTTCTTAGGTCTTCAATGACCATTTTTTAGTGACTGACCAAATGGACAAAACTTGATGAACATGACATTCTAGAGTTGGTCACCCCAGGACCTGATATTTGTAGCCACAGTAATCAGTATGACAAAAGACTGGAAGCAATCTGGAATTGATACTAAGGCTTAAATTTTTACAAATAACTGCCACTTTTAAAAATTAGGGCAGGTTAAGAATTTGCTCATCACACGACTGTCTCACTCACTGGGGAGGGACAGGAGCTTAAGCCATACCTTGCAAGGTTATTCACCACCCGCCTGCCTCTCTCAGGCTGAGCACGACCCGGGATCTCCACAGCTCCAGCAGGAGCACCCGGGGGATGGTAGAAGGTGGCTGTTAGAGACTGGCAGTCCTTCAGGGCTCCTCCGTCATCATGGCTGTGTCTGACTAAATGCACGTCGCTCCTTCTGAGAGTCGTTGGGACTTACTGGAGTGCCTACACCTCTTCTAGATACATCTGACCTCAACACCGAGAATGTTGCACTAAAGGACATTCCACGTGACGCTGATCCAGCCTTGGGGTCCACACTGCTGCTGCAGGCCTCTGTCAGCGGTGGTGGTGACAAGCCGATAATCACTTCAAAGCTGTCTTCACACTCCCACAACTCTCAGAAAGGGGTGCTAGGACGACTCAATAACTTCAAGAACACGTCATGGTGGTGTAAAGAGCTGAGGTGGCAAAGCTATACAGTATAAATTCTACCTCTAAAACTACACTCGCCACTTGCGTGACCCTGGACAGGATACTTGACATCTGAGCCTGTTTCTTCACTCATGAAATGGAGATTAACAGTACCTGTCTTAAAGTATCTTTCTGAAGTCAGGCAGGAAATGTAAGGCCATGTGTTTAGTGCAGTGCCTGACATGGACTCTATTCTTGACGCCCAGCCTTTCTATTGGAAACGTGTTACTAGTATAAGACTTTCCTTTGCAAAAGGTCCACGTTAACTGTCCAGCAGTGTCGCTTTTAGCTAATAAGGGAAAGCTCTGTTACGGCCACAGGAGCGCATGTCTCCGAAGCTGTAGTGTCAGCTGAGAAGTAAGGGACAGTTCCCCTGCCTTAAGAGCCAACAGCGGGGGCAGCGTTGGGAGGCCTGAAGAGCTCTACGTCTAAGCGGTGCAGCTGGCTCTTCAGTCTGCACCTCCCTTCTGGAACAAGCTTGTCACTGTCACCACGGACAAGCAAGGCATGTCATGACTCAAGAAGGCCACTGCTAATTAAGTTTAACTATCCGGGGACTCACCACCTTCATGTGGTAGTGATTCACATGTCTTCATGTGCCAAATATTGCTTCCAGATTATTTTCAGAAAGGCCTCGAGCCCCTCTGCACAGTCACGACTTAGACGGTGGGTGCGGTGTGAGTTATTATTATTTCATTCCATCTTCAGCCCAGTCATATGTTTATATCTGATTTAGATCATTGGCTCATTAGAAGCATCACAGAACAGCTGGTGGAACAAGCAGGCCCCGTGTCAGGAGCGCAGTGGAGTCACGCAGGCACCAGAATGAGTCTGCAGCGAGGTGTCTTACCTTTCTGAACTTGCAAACAGCATTCCTCCCACTCAAACAAGGCAGTGACTGAAGGCACAGAGCATGGTCCCAGGGTAAAGGAAAGAACAGTTTCCAGTGCTCCCAGTTGCCTACTCACAGGCCACAGGTGCCAGCTCTCGCAGGGACGAGATGCACGAGCTGCAGCAACAGCCTCACGCCCTTCTGCCATTCTTCTTCCCTTTCAAATTCACAGTACACGTAGCTGCATTCATCCGAAGAAAACTGGTAGAAAACATAATTATCTTGAAAGTATACATGTTGGTCCACTGTTGGAAGCAAACAAACAAAAGTGTTATGTTTTAGAGTCATAAATCAAACAAACGGAAAAGCCAATAATTAGGGAAAACCCAAGGCAAGACTGTTATCGTACACCTGAACTTTACTCACGCTTACATCCTCAACACCACTAAAGGAACTGGCTAGTCAATCTCACTGCTTGAGCTTTGACCGAAACATTCGAAAATACCTTGCACTTTCTCCTTCACAGACAAGTGCTAGTCAAAGCAATGTCCACTCACAGAGAATGAAGCGATGCCACACAGATAAAGCACAGTGAGTTTCAGTTAGCAAAACTAGTGGCTCTCAACTGGGCATGAGTGTGGTCCTGCTTCAGGGAACATCTGACATCTACGGATATTTTCGGTAATCACAGTGAAAGGGTGTGCTACAGCATACAGAGGAAAAAAGAAATGCTGCCAAAATCCTTTATGTACAGAACAGTTCCCGACAACAAAGAATTGTCTAACTCAAAACACCAACACTGTCAATGTGGGGAAATCCCATTTTAAAGGAATCAAAAGCAAGAGAAGGTTCCAAAAGGCATTTCACAGAATGTGTTGCTAACTAGAAACCCAGTGCTAGTCAATGAGCCAATAACAGTTCCACTCCTCAAAAACAGTTAGCTGACTTTCTAAATGAGAGCATTAGTTCTGGGCGTGCCTAAGATGATTACAACCACGGCCCGTCTACACCATTCTTTCACAATGACACCAGGTGTGGTGGCCCTCAATATCATCCAGAGAAACCAGGGCTTCTCAGTCCCAGGCAGCACCCGAGATACTAAGATAAAGAACAGCCCTTCAACTACCTGCGCTTGACTAAGAAGGGAGAGGCTGCTGTCTATCTTAGCTTCTACTTAAACATCATTTTCTACCCTAACTGAACAGCTGGTGCAAGCAGCTCACATATCTACACGTCATGATCATTCAGTTAAAATGGCACACACACCAAATATATCAAGATAAGCCATTCACTTGAAGCAACTTGGCAAAAGCGAGCTCACGAGCAGAGGAGACAGCAGAGAGGAAGGCAGAGACTTCCACAGGTCTAAGTCAAGGACAACCAACAAGGACCTAGTAGTTGGCACAGAACGTGTGAGGAAGACAAATGAGTCCAAAATGACCTGTCACTCTGACTTAGACAAGAAGTACGTAAACATTTACCCTCAAAAAAAATGTCTACCCAGATTATAACATCTGGAAGATCAAGTGTGTGTTGGTCTAGCCATTTAACAGAGCCGTGATTGTGTCTTCAATGACCAAATACCCACCTGACGACATAATCCCCATATCCAGGAGGAGCTGCCAGACGCCGATGGCCATCGATCTACACTGGACAAAAGGGCAGTGCTCCAGAAGCCAGTCCACCAGCTCGGACCCCACACAGCTTCTCCTGGACAAAGCAAAGCCGCGAGCAGTGAGAAAAGCAAACAACAACAGAGTGATTAGAGCATTCCCTTCATGGGCTCTCTTTCTAAGATAAGCAAGCTAAGGGGAAAATGGCATCACCTCTTACTCTTCTTAATTCCAGTTAATGCTAACATATTACTTCCTTGGGATTAAGAATAAAATCCACTCACACATTTTAAGCTACCTGACACAAAGCAATCATGTATCTTTCTATGAGAATAATACCTACCCCTGCTACTCTGCCACTGCAATGTGAGTTTTAGACACCGAGAGAATGTGTGTGTCTTAACACTAATCCCCAGAAGTTTGAAGAGCCCACGGCAGTGCTCACTTGTTGAACAAATGAAGAAATAAAACGAGCAGTGTCAGTACCTGAACGCTACTCCGAGGCAATGAGGCCAGTTCCAGACACATTCAGTGGCAGGTTACCATTAAAATGATAGAAAGAGAAGTGTCAGACACATGGATTCTTTTAAACGAGAACACAGGTGGCAAGAAAACAGGCAATTTGGACCAAATAGTCAATATTAACTTCTAATTCTATGGGATGCCTTTCATGTTGAGAGTGGTAATTAACTAATTTATCAGAGCTTCCTCCAGTTAGCCAGCATCTCTGGCCTCTGAAAACACTTTGGTCCATGGGTTAAATACTGTGTCGTCTTTCTCCCTTCACATGCTCAGAACACTGAGGCTCAACAGCCTTTTCTGGTTGTCTGAAACCACCCAGCGCACAGAAGCCCACAATACGTTTACTCAACAAACAAAGCCTGCACGTTGCACCAGGTAGCTGGATGGTGACTGGGCCTATCTAGCCCAGGTAGCCGTGGAGAGGTTTCCTAGCCCAGGCCTTCTCAAGAGCACTGTGTTCAGCAGGCGGAGAAGGAAGAGCACAGGTGCTGTCACCTGGAGATCCTCACCAGGATGGAAACTGAGACGGCCACTGCTATCACAGCCCTCTCACGTTGATGGCGACCACAGACCCTCTAGCCGTCCTCTCTCCCTAGGAAGGGTTCATCCCTTCTGAGGCACAGGCTTGGAACAAATATATAAAAGCACAGAATTGCCATGACAACCTTGAGGGGAAACTGGGTACCACGCCCAACAAGCCATTGATTTAACTGCATGTGGCCCCTTTCTGCCCCTCCCTAAGTCTCGTTATTGTGTTTTAAATTGCTCTTACCATCATCTGACCAGGAAAACAGTAAGGACAAAGGGAAGCTCTGTCCTTAATACCCTTAGAGCAGACAAAATGAGGTGAGCTGCTATGCGCGTGATTCCAAATCCCCTGACTTGCTCAGCAGAGCCAAACCATCCATTTAAGTATCGAAACCTACAGGCAGAGAGGGGCAGGAAGGGCGAAAACCCAGATTATCGGAGCAGAGTGCTCTAACCTCAGCCAGCAGCTCTTCGCCGCTGTCCTTTCAGTCTTGTGCTGCATACAGAGGCCACAAGGTTCACACTGATCTACCCAGAGTTGTGATACCAGGCAGTGACACTGCCATATGGAGGTGATGAGCTACAGGCCCATGTGACCCTGTGTGCACCCTCTGTGTGCAGACCCTGTGTGCAGACCCTGACCCTGTGTGCAGACCCTGACCCTGTG